ACAAATTTTGTGAGAAGCTTGAATACATATTCTGATGTTTCACCTACCACATCCCAAACAAAAATATACCGTAGATAAATGTCACTGCATGGGTTTGATATATCCGAGTTAATCATTTACACATTAACATGCTCGATATGCGAACAATTTTCCTTAACGAGGCCAACTGTTGACAAATGAAACAAAAAAAAAAGAACATATCTCGTTTAAAATCAACATTTTGCGAAATCAATGGTCGATACAATGACCTTGATAGCAAAGTAGCAAAGTCAAATGAAAAAGAATATGAGTAATGTGTATCAGCATTGTTAGGGTATTATTTTCCCAATGAATTGTCCACAAATTATCTCTGTTTTCCCAATTACGACAGTGAACACACAACGAGTGTGACCAGTCGACAGGGGATGCTTACTTCTCCTTGGAACCTGATCTTATTCTGATGTTCCGAATGTGTATAATTTATTCTTATAACGAAGAATTATCAATTTTCATTTCTTTTTTAGAAAATCATACCCACCATGTGCATTACAGGTTTTTGAACCGAGTATCGAGTGCAAAGTGCACATAAAATGTCATATTGTGTACTATAAGTGCACTTTGTTCCACGGGTCATAAGTTCGCAGATTCCCTGGATTGCCATTGTAACACTGTATTTTAATCGGGACCGCATGAAAAATGTAGCATTAATTAATTTATCCCACTTTGGACTTTCGTATACATTATGTTATTTATAAAGGATGATATCAATAAATCTTTCTCTCTATCTCTTTTCTTTGTTCTCCGGGGAAGATAAATTATCATTGTTACATGACTCATTTCAGTAAATGTCTTTTATTGTTTTTATAACAAGGGATATTCATAAGATAATTGAAACAATAGTACTTATTTATAAAGTTAACATCAATATATGAAATATGGAGATAACAATCTGTAATCAAAGAAGGATTTTGAATATTGTTTGACAATACTCATAGATTTACGTGAATAACAAACAATTGTAACAACAAGAAGTGATCAAATATGCGAGATATATCATCTTATTTGATGGTCAGAGAAAAATTTAGGTCATACCTCTATATAACTTTTTGTGTATTCAAAGGACAAAGATAATTCATTCACGCACTTTTATTAAAAATAAAACGTATCAAAATATTTGAGGTATAATTGATTTAATTCTAAAGCATTAAAAAATCTTTCAAAAGATAAATTATGATATGTATAATATAAAAAAAAATAAAATTGATATTATGACGATTGTTAAAGGATACTATTAATAGTATATATTTCTTAATTCACACTTACCTGTCTGCAGTTCTGGTTATTGGACAGTTTTGAAGATAGTAGCAGTTTAAATATGTCACATTCCAAAACTGGCTTGCATTCATTTAATCAAACGATCTCTTTAATGATCTATACCCCAACGGTAAACCTAGACAACACAAACTTTTTTGCATAATTTTATTAGTTACGTAAATTAAGGTAACAATGTAATGGATATCCTAACAAGATTGGCTTTGCTATAACAATTAGATAGTTAAGTCCAACGTTAGGAGGCCCTTTGATTTTTTCCTGAAAAAATAGTGAAAACTTATTTTAAAAAAGAAATTATATGATGAAAAAAAAATCAAGCAAATAAAAACATTGCAATCTTCTCTAGATTAGAATGGTCGGTGCGGTGTAATCTGGTACTCCTGAACTTGAATTCTATATTTAACAGTATACAAAGTTCTACGGTCGGTACAATTTTTACCTTGACAGCAAATATAATCTATCATTAAGTAATGACTGTGGTTTTTCAAACTAACTAATAAAGGTCCATTATATACACACTGAATTTATTCACGACGGATTTTTAATTATTACTTCCCGGTCATGAAAAGGTGCCACGGCGGTCACGACTGGTCGGGGAAGAGGTTGACCCTTCCTCCATGGGACCTGATCCCACCTCTTGTGTTGTAGGATCCTTGTTATCTCCGCTCCTATTTTGTATTACCTAAAGGACTTTTGAGTTTGAATATTGTATGTTATCTCCATATATTCCATCTATTATATTTTACGTATATACATATTAGGGATGACAACAAATATTCTAGTTTTCGATCTTGATTTTATAACAATCACATTGACTATCTTTAATTCTGTTATTTGTTAAAACTGATTGGGAATGTAAAATTCAAGGCAAATTATTGGATCCACATAATTAATTTGTAAATGTATCAGTATTCTCGTGATTAAGTATCAAGATTAAACTCAAGCGGTCTTAGTTAACTGTTCAAAGACAAAAAAGGCGTCGATTTTTTTTTCGTTTGCAAACATGTTTTGAATTTTTCAAAAGATGCCCTCCTAAAGAAACAGTAAAATGTTTGTATTGATTGAATGTATGTTATTTACGTCCCTCTGGAGAATTTTTCAATTATATGAAGTCACCATTACTTTGAGAGCTACAAATTTTGAACTATGCACAGCACCTAGCGCTATTGAACGATGAGAAATCTTTTTCGTTCCAGCACAAACTGTGACACGGGATCAGCTTCTTACTTCGAAACCCAAGCGCTGACGCTCTAACCAATGCGTTAAGCTGGAGACTGTTAAACGCTTGTGTACATGTAACCTTACAGGATGTCTGCAGTGGAATATCAAATGTGTTGTATCATATTTAATAAGGACACTCCGCGGGTATGTTAAGGAAGCATATTAGTCATTTCTCGGAAAATTTAGACTTTTTAAAGAAAATTTAGTTTGATAAATTACCAAAACCGCTGATAAACGTCAACTGTTTTTAACTACTGAATACAGATAAAAAAGTGTCTACAAAAAAGACATGCACCACTGCCACAGGATCACGTGACTTCTATTTATAGCCAAATTTCCTTAATGAAAAGGCTAACAGAACAATAATACACCGGAGTTAACTAATTTATTTGAGTAAATAATATAGTTGAAAAACATCTATTTTGCCTAAAAAGTGCTGCTAGAATCCCACTGTCCTGTCAGTAAATTAATTATTCCACACGTTCGCACAAAACCTTACCCTGTGTTTTGAATTTTATACATATCAACCGAGATTTTCGTAAAATCATGTTAACCCTAACCCCGAACTCGGGATTCTAGCAGCACTTTCCAAGTTTGTCAGACGGCTAACTTTCCATCTGTACAAATTTAATGTTTTGAAATATCCAGCTTATTGTTGTTCTGCTGCATTATTTTTGTCACAAATGACAGAGGAAATACGTCCGACCGTGATACGTATATAGCTGACTGTCTTCGAAAGAGAATATCATCGATGAAAATAATTTAGCAATCCTGTTTAATTAAATGAAATCCATATGAATTTTACATATTATTAATGATATTTGCTTTTAAACTCCATTTCACGTATCTATGTACAAGCCGTCGTAGCCAAATTCTCTTTACACGACATGATCAATTCCCAAGTTACTTGATGTACACATATGACGTGATCGATGGTAGATTTCAATCAAAATGACAAAATACAGCATAACAAAGTAAGAACATTTTATATTTGTTAATGTTTACACGTTAGTATTCATTTCCTAGAGTTAAATTTTATCTCTTAATACCAATATTTACATTTGCAAATGTTTTTCTTTATATAACACGACTGAAAGCAATGCGTATCTATAACTGTATAAATACAGGTACGGGGTCAAGAGGTCATAGATGTGCGTATGGACAAACGTTTGACGTAATGTCTCAGTGACGTCATAAAGGGTCGACACGCGCTTAGTGGATTACATACATACCGTTGGGTTTGAAAAATAAATCATTTCACATGTTCAAAGTCACAATCTTGCAAATATAAAGTATGAATAAGTCACAAATGTAAATATAAGTAATAAGGTATCATTTTAAAACATCTATCGGGCTATAAATACGGGTGGGTACAAGATTAAATTCATCATAAAGCCCTTCGGGCTTTATGGAATTTAATCTCGTGACCCACCCATATTTATATCCCGATAGATGTTTAAAAATGATACCTTATTTCTTAAATATCACGAAAACATGTATCGTTTTAAAATTGACGTCATTTCGCTTACTATGACGTCATAATGTTGCACTGATTTATTCAAGGTAGAATATTTTGTATGCTTCCTTATCACCCCTGCGTCGTCAAACATCACAAAATCTATAAAGGAGACCCTTAACATGTTCTCCGCAAAAAACCCAATTTGCAGAGCCTGGAAAAAATGGCTGTTTCTATCACAAGCTTAAATAAATAAAGATCGTTCACCTCATTGCTAAAATAGAAAGAGTTTTAAACCTTTTTGTTTTGCTAGCTCAACAATATCCCCGATACTATAAAATAACTTTTAATATAACATATACCTATAATGTGTTTTAAACATAACAATTAAGCACCCGTTGTTTATTTTTCATAAAGTTTAATTGGGCAATAGTTATACGCGTAATATAACGGTGTTTCCTTTTTAATTTCAAGATTGCACTGAATCTAATGATTTATTATAAAGTTTCAAAGAACATTTTTATGTTTCAGTAAGAGATACATATTATCTGGTCAGTAACCTAGCTTTAACTAATTAGTTTAAATGGCATCAAGTTTTAGTATAAAATCAGGTCTGGGCAATTTCTAAAAATGGCAGTCAAGAACGGTAATGACATCTATAAGTTTCACAAAATTGGAATTTGAAGTAAAAAATTATTTGTTTAGTTTAATAAGGATAGCTGTAGAAAGGTATAATTTTGAACGTCATAGAAGGTTAACAATTTCTTAATATTTTGGAAATTTATAAGATGCATTTTTTACAGCAAAAATATTACCATTATTATTTCGTAGTCAATCTCAGTAACTTCAATACATACTAACAAATCAATTCATTAAATACAGACTCAAATATTTATTTTTAGGGAAAAAAACATGTATATATAAAAGAAATAAATTCATTTTAATGGCATCTTTCTTTTTCATCGACAAGTGTTCAAATCTTTTAAAAAGTCGTCAATAACTTAAAAATCTCTTTTTAGTTTTATTACTTAAATTATCCAATCACATTCCCAAGGTTAACCTGCATCGTTCGTAGTGTTGTCGATGTGGTAGTATGTGCAACACTCACTGTTTGGCGTCTTGATGCTTGAAATAAACATTGATAAATCGATTGAAGACATTAATGAAAATAGTCAGTTGACAGTTGAAGACATTCTTTGATGTGTAAATAAAGCATAATAAATATTTTTTTTCTTCTACAATTCCCCCCTTTTATGATTTATGAATCAATATGAAGGCCATTATATGAATTTGGTGTGAATCAAATAATTTTGATAATTTGCGATAGATTTTTTTGCTTTATCTCTTTTCTTTGCACACGTTTCGTGAGCTAAATAACAGCACAACTAAAATATCAAGATCTTGCACCGTCACTGAAACCAAGTAAATGGAATCATTTAAAATATGAAAGCATTAAAATTACAGAGTTATTTCCATGAACCCATGACAACATTTGGTAGAAAATCAAATACATTCGTACTTCAATCATTTCTTTAGCTGTTTTATAATGTAATTTCTTTCAAATTATGCTGTGAAAATACAATTTTTCTAACTGCTTACCATGTATTTCGTAATCCACAAAGTAACATCTTAAGTCGTCCAGTCTACAGAATGATAACAATAACAATTATAAAAAATAATATAGGCATAACAGTCATAAAAATTGAATAACAAAGACAAAATATTATAGTAACGATAACAAATAAACTAGAATAGCAATGATAATTAAAACATCCCAGACATATTAGGTACTTTAATAGACCTGACTTTTCGTTAAAACCGAAAGTGTCTCATTGTAAGGAAAATGTTGCCTATAAGATTTTAAGAATAATAAAAAAATGCATCTAGTTGTTTACAAATCGATTTTTTGCCATATAAATTCGTTCCTTAAAAAAATATTTTTTGCAGTTTTTACCCAGAGTTGTAGTCCGATGCCTCGACACAAAGCTGTGCCCTCTGTGTTGGGCGGGAGATAGAAGTATGGATTAGAATATCCACGGAACAGTTATCACAGTCAGAAGTTCTAAAAATGTGCACAGTACTTCCAGGTACTGGACGGGCGGAAACCTCAGGACTGTAAACCAGAAGAAAGAGACGTAATGATAGAAAGGAGAAGAATATTTTAACAAGTTTTGGGAATAGAAGCTTAAAATTAATATTAACTGGAGCTTCTTAAACTCCTTTAAACAATTGCTTAAAGAAACAATATGTTTTAATCATTTGCTTATTTCTTTGAAATTTAGAAATCTCCGTTATTTCTCGGAGATTTTTTGGAAAGGGTTTATATATGGATTAAAGTTACTAGTATTTATTTGACTTTTTATTAGCCTTTTAATTAACCTCCGTTGAAAATGTGTATGATGTAAAAAGAAAATCCAATAAGGTATTCGTTTAAAAAGAAGGCCCATTATGAGGACTACCAACTGAGCCCACGGTAAATTGTATTGTTGTTTACTACTGGGTAATTGTCTTAAAAATATTTTCACTTGATTGTAGTGTCAGCATTCGTAGCTCATCTACTTTTCCAGCTGAAATAGGACTGCTTCTTATTTTCTTGCATTGTATTTATGATTTTCATTATGTGGTCATTTAATAATATGATTATTTTCACTTATCTTGCTCCATGCTTACCATAAGTTGTTGTGGCCTCGTTTTAGATAAAGCAATATGTGGCAATCAACGTCTGCAGAGCATGTGAAAAGTGACACATTTGTTGGAGATGGTCCAATAAATAATTGCTTCAGGTAATATAAAAAGGTCGAATTGTATATTATAAATGTTATTGATTAACATTTTAAAACAAAACAAAAGGAATCACATGTTGCGTCATCATATTATATATGCTAAAATTATCATACCTTGTCAGTATTTTTCAAAGTTGTAGGTATGTTGTCTAAAATTGAAATGAGTTATTAAAATATGCAACGAAAGTAAACATAATTTATCAAAAATCCTCTTATTAATGTGCACTTACTATAGAAACCTACTACTCACGACAGAGATTGCAGGATTTTCTACAGAATGTAGCCGTGGTTGGATCTGAGCAAATATTATTGAGTGCTGCTGGATCGCTGCAGTCGTCAACGGAGACATCCTGACAGGTAATATAATCTAGAATGATAAAACATACCAGAAAAAACTCGAGATTATTTAAACATTTCATTAAGTATCTTTTTCAATGATTGGAAATATTATTTTTGTTATTTTGACAATACAAAGTTTGTAATGCATACGAGAACGGCATAAAAGAGAAAATAAAATTAAGTAGTCGGTTCAACCCATTTTTTTTCACGTTTTGAAAAGAGCATTATCAGAGTTTTGGTTGTAAAAGGATTAATCAGAAATAAATACTGGCGACCTTGGATGATAATGCGGCACACCAAATTATCATTCGGTATATGTTTCGTGGGTTGAAACTCCTTTCATACAGGGAAAAAGAGGGGAAAAGCATATTATTCAGTGTAAACAGAAACTTGATTTTGTGAATTATACCTGTGTTTTGGGTGGAGATACTGCAACAAACTTTGTCTGTTTCGATACTGTTAAATAAAAAGAGTTTGAATCAAAACTCGCTTTACATAATTTGAGTATATCAACTCACGTGATAAATATATCGCTGATTGAAATTGTAAATTAATAGTAAGTGATCTGAACCTAAATTAATAACAAAATATTATAATGACCCAGCCATGGAAAGGAATTGGAATGGTTTTTTCTTTTAAAGATAAAATAGGAATTTTCTACAAAGTGAAAGATTTTAGTAATTTATTTTCAAAACATATTCTGCACCACAATTTCAATGTGATGGGGAAAGAATACTTAATCTTTAATTATTATATCAACAAAAAAGATACTGATACACTTTTAAATTAAACCTAGAATTATTTTATATTCTTTTGAAATGCAATAAAAAGAAAACATTGTTTATATAGGTAATATTTTTGACACTTTTGTCTCATCGACCTTGTAAATATGAAAATTACAGATGAAAGAAAATCCCAACCTCCAAGTTTAAAAAAACCTACTTTTATAGGACATTATTTAGGTAATTAGGTTTTAAATGATATGCAACCATGCCATCTTTAAAATAATGTTTATTTGCCATCTCCCGACTCGGGATAAAATTATTTGGTACGTAGGAAGGTGTTTTTTTTTTAGGGAAACCTCAACATAATTTTTGAACGGATTGAGAGGAATGCCTTAAAAATACATATCTTGTCCTGGAATGTAATAAAAGTTTTGAGTGTCGTCATTTTTTGTTAATCGGTCGGAAAGGGTAACTAAATAATTTTAAAAATGACCTCACCTGTATTTATCAGGAGAAATGCCCACACAGAGCTGATGAGAGCCAGTTTTCTTGTTGACAACTGTTATTATTGTGAGGAAATCCTTAGATACACGAGTCTCCTTTATTTCCTTGACCGCTACACTTGAAGGGTCAGTGCTAGTAGTAATGTAAAATCTGAAACCATGCATTGAATTCATTTAAGTAATGTAAAAGTGTCTTTACTATGGATTGTATAAGAGTGACCCATTGTTTTTTCTAATATGTTTTAAGCAAAATATTTCTGTTGTATTATTTCACAAATGTCATTATTATGTAAATCACATTATCAATATCATAACATTACTCTTGTGATATGATTTTTTAACCCTAACCCCTAATCCTGAAAAAATTCAAATACGCTTTATAAAAAACATAAAATTAGTCCATGAGCCAGGCCATGAATTTTTCGGTATCGGTACCATCTCGGGTGAATAATTTTCATAGTTAATTTTTGAAGGACATACATGTCTACCTTCAGAAAATGTATGATAGCATTCAATTGATTGTGGCTTTAATGGTGTATCAACTGTTTATATACACCAACCCAACTTGTTCGTTCTCTCAGCTCTGTCTTTGAAAGAAGGTTGGTTTTTCAATACGCAATTTCTATCTTATTTCGGATGATATTTTCTTGAAAATTCTTTTGAATGCAGACCATGCTATTACCCTGTTCACTTATTATTCAATATTGGCTCTGTAATGAGCCGTCTAAAACTTATAGGTATATAATTCTACCCTTGTTCATTAAAGTGGAATACGCAATTTTGATCAAAGGAGACAAATTACTACTGTGACAATTTTCACACCAAAAACATATTGCATGGTCATATTAGCATTTCAAAACATTATTTCAGTAACAAATATATATAACTTGATTTAATACTAAATCTTTATCCCTATCCTTAAAATGAAAATTGAAGGAAAATTCCCTTGATTAACCCTGTGCGTATATTCTTTATTTAACAAAGATATTGTGAATATATCAGATCTCAAGTTGAGGCTTTAGATAAAATGTTTTATTTATTTAATCTCATGCTAAACCATGGTGATAATGGACACTTATATGTTCATTTAAGTTCAACGTGTAATATATTATATATTTTTGACATCAAAATTAAGCAACATACGTGCACAATCATATACCCGGGTATGTGCTTTGTGGGCAGTGGGATGTGTCTCACGACGTGCAATAGCTTGACACCCCTTCCCTCCACTAGGTCGGGTAGAAGGAACCCGTACCCTCTTAAGGGAGATCCCTCTAGGAGAGCGCTGACGGGTCTCAAACCCTGTTGATTGAGGACTTGCCTACCTATTACGCATGTAAAGACTGTTTAGACTCTGTGGAGGAAACCGTCATGGTTCAACGGAGAAGAAGGCGGACACAGCAAGCATCGTGGAATGCTTGGAGCAAGGCAAAGCACATATGGGACGTCTTGGTCACCCGCTGCATCTGTCTTCATCTCCAGACGTCCTGACATCTGTCTTGCCACTGGATCTAGATGGTTGTGGGCGAGAGAGTGAGGTCGGCGACGCGCAACTCTTCTTCTTTTTAATCAAACTCATCGCGCAAGTCATTGATCATCTTCCATCCCTTCTATCATCCACCAAAGCCCTGTGGGGACAGGCGAGCAACGAAGGTGACAGGTGCAGGTTCTCTGGAAATTGGTAGTCGCGGACCTGCACACAGGCGGCACATGCCATATGGTTGCTCTTCACCGATCAGAGCAGCGTTGGAGTTCGGCAGCCACCTGTTCTACTGAGCAGCCCTCTTTAGAGACGCACTGCTCACCTCCATGACAAGAGGAGCGAATTATAAAAGGTATCCCAAACGTTGCTTGCTCCACCTTTCCCTAGCCAGTTTACCAAGGGTCAGGATTACATCATTGTCATGAAGAGAGACATACAGACAGTTCGTTTGTTCACCGAGGCTATGTGCTGGTACGGAGTGCTGGTACGGATCACCGTCTCACAGTCTCTAAACTTCACCTCTCAACTTCCGGATCAAACACAGGATACGTCCTCAGGAGACTAAGGCTTCAAAACGTCTCAACGTTGGTAAGCTCAAGTTGCCTTCCACCTCTTATTACTTTGCTGACACCCTGGAAGAACGCCTTAACTCCACCGTGCTGGATGACCAAAACGTGGAAGCAGTATAAAACACACTTCGTAATACAGTGTACAATACAGCATTCGAGTGTCTTATACTCTCTACCAAAAGTAACACAAGACTGGTTTGATGTGAACCGTGCCGAGATCAAGTAGCTTCTGTAAGACAAACATCGCGCTTACAAGGCTTATATAGATGATCCCACCTCCACAGCCAAAAAGATGCACTGAGGAACGCTTGCAGCACAGTACAGCAAAAGCATCGGGATATGTAAGACTCCTGGTTGAATGCCAAAGCTGACGAGATCCAACGCTACGCCAAATCTCATGACAGGGCTATAGGAAGAACTTTTACTGTGGACTTGGGGAAGTCTACAGGCCAACTTCATCAGGCTCATCCCCTCTCCTCAGTGATGACGGGTTAACACCCATCACAGAGAAGAAAAAGATACTCGACAGGTGGGCGAAACATTTCATTGGCGTTCTGAACCACCCTTCTACCATCAACGACGAAGACATCAATCGTCTTCCCAGCTTCCCATCAACAAGTCACTGGATGTCGTTCCCACGTTGGATGAGATCCAGAAAGCAATTAGTCTGTTGTCAACTGGCAAAGCACCTGGCCAAGCCCGATACTCCATCCCAGCTGAGATTTACAAAGAAGGGGGCGTGGGTCTAGTCGAAAAACTCCCATCATCTGCTTGTGCGAGGATCGGCCTGACCAGTCACTTCCGCACCCACCGTCCAGGTCGTCCCCCTCCCCCACGAAGATGAGACAGTGGTCATCGTCATCACCGTAACTAAACTAGGATATGTGCGTTGGTACTTATCTTTTTCTTTATACAAATTTGTGAGGTACATGTAATTGTTGAATAAAAGTGGTAAAAATATGCAATTTTTGTGAGAATCACGGCTAGTAACTCAGTAAATGCTCTTTTAATATGTTCATCATATATCTGAGTACTTCTGGTAAAACTTTCTATCACGGTTGGCAACTGTTTGACAAATACTTTGCAGGTTGCAAATATATTTAGCTCAAAATACCTAATTTGAGCAAATAAAGGGCAATAACTGTGTCTCCAGCATTGAAGCCACAACAGATTTGATGCTATCATACATTTTCTCAGTAGTTAGGGGTATACCTTACCAAATATCACTATAAAGTTTATTCACCCAAAATGGTACCGACCACCCCCAGTGGCTCATGGACTAAATCAAGAATTTTACCCCGTTTTTCCAGTAATTAGAAGCTGTATTTGACACTCCTCATTCAAAGGACAATTCATTCTTTTTGGTAGAAGTACATTTCCAAGCAGAGGCTGTATAAAAATACAAAAGGTTATACTTAAAGATAATAAAATCCTGTAAAATCCTTGATTTTACGTAAGGTTTTATTTTTGTTGTTTTTGAAATATGAAGAGAGCCATAAATGTACGTCCACCACGAAATGTTGAATGCCATATTTATAACTTCAGAAATCTTAATGCACACAATAATATCCCCAGAAACTGATGGTTTTTGTGCAAAGCACGAACAATTGAACCCTACCCTACACGACGAATACAGAATAAAAGCACTTGCATTCTTATGTTATGCGATAAACTGTCATAAAGCAGAAAAAGAAATATGTGTAATAAAATTACACCTAGCTGATCAGTTTTATGCACTAATAAGTGGCTTTTTTTTATTTTATTTGCGTTAACCCAATGGACCTTTAGTCTTTCGCCTAGTTCAAACAAAAGGAAATCTATAAAAACACTTACATATTGTATATTCTGTGTATGCATCTCTTGGGGGATACCAAACTCTGGAAAACATAGAACAAAAAATTGCTCTATAATGAAACATATAATAAAAAGGAACAACACTCAAATGAAAAAATCATATAACATTATGAATAAAGTGCAGAGCAAACACGGACCTTTAAAACCTAAGAAATGGGATTAGGTATCAAGGAGGATTGAGCATCCCCTGACAATTTGTAATACCAGCGGTATGCTCCTTGTCTTGATCGGGAGAACGGAAAATCTGTACACATAATTGGCTAATTATTTGTTTAAAAAATAATCAACATTCGATCCAACGGGTAAACATTTCATCGACCATAAGCTAACTAATTGAACAATCTCAATAGATGTCCTATTTTTACTTTTCTAAATTTTCTTTTTATGAAATTTCAGAGCAATGTGACAAGTGACATCAGTATTCTATTTATGCTACATTCATATACTACAGTACCAACCAGTAGTACAGCTATCACCAGAGAACCCGGCTCGGCAAAAACACTTCCTTGTGTCTTCATGTCCATCACAGAATCCACCATTACTACACGACTTTTGAGCACAAGACCCTTTCACTTAAAAAAAAATTGTCAGATTGTCAGTTTGCAATAAATGGCTATTGAACTTATCTCGATGAATATTGACATGAGTTAGCCGTAGAAATGCACGAACTTATTTCGGGCATTCTCTAAGTATTTTAAAATAGACATTCGATAAAACGCAAAGATTTTTTTTTTGTTATAATTCGCTTTACTTTTAGTCTAATTATGTTTTAAAAGACTATTTTTCTGCCATATCATAAATATATATCTTATCTAAGTGATAGTAAGAATGTATTTTTTTGTGTATATGTTGCCTCTGCAAATTAGCTAAATAAAGTATTTAGGGAAGAGAGATTGAAAAAAAATTAATAAAATTAATAAATGTAATGATATTGGATTTTGAAATTAAAAAATATATTCATGGTGTCTTTTTATCGTGGTTTTGATTGTTGATAAATGAAACTCAATGAAAAAGTTTAAATAGAGGAGCAACTTAAAAGTAGCAATGGTATATAAAGTAAATGAAGAAAAGCATACAGTAAAATGAATATTTACCACTCAATGACAAGGAAAATTTAATTATGTAGCATCTTTTCTCGATGAACATTCCGTCATTTCTATAATTTGAATTCAAATACACATCTGTAAAATGTGACTTTAACCAACAAAATTGTCGACCGCTGAAATCCGCCTTATTGTATTAACATTAAAATGTTATACCCCTGGTAGTTTTTAAATTTTAAAAGTCTAAATTTAGAAATTTAAAAATGGTCTTTACTGTTTGAATTTAAGATTCGACATAAGTTAAATGGCTAAATACATTTGTGACACAAAATCTAAATGTGTAATTACAGTGAAAAGCAGACAGATTTGTTGGCTGGTTGATCCATTCTTAGTACAACGTCATACATGCAAGGAAATAGAGTTTGATTTAATGGAGGAATAATGAACACGCCGCTTTCAAAGTTTTCGTCAGATTTTAGAACTGGACTGAAAAAGACAAACGAAATTCAATACTCACTCATCATGTCAATATGGCATTATCATGCGGTTTAATAAAAGAAATGATCAATTGTCTTTAAAAAAATTACCAATTGGTTTTGGTTAATAACTTTGAAGTCCACAGATGTAAATGACAGTATTTCCCTACCAAACACTGGACTGTACTGTTGTCTTCAAGTGTAGGCTTCAGAAATAGAGGATAATTCTAAAATTAAAATTACATAAGTTAAAAGTAATTTTGATGTCAGAAAACGCTATCTCGTTTTTATATATCCCCCAACATTAATATTTTGAGATGATTAAGACTATACTCACACTAAATTCTCTGTAATAATGACCTATACATGAAAAAAGGCAACTGTAGTAATAAAAATGAATCAACTATATAATGGCATGCTTTAAGATTTCGTTTCTCTAAAATGTGAAAGCAAAAGCATATTGCATATTGATGAACCTTTAAAGTTTTGTTTTACTTTTGTACTTTGTAAAGATTCTAGTTTGAACAACCATTACTTTTTTCCTAAGATGTCCATTTTGTGAAAATTTAATTTGTTGAAAATTATATGATTTCTCTCATTAATTAAATCTGTATCATTTCATCCCTCTAGCCATTATATGAATAATGGTTATCTTTATATGATTTAGTTTAAAGGAACTGAATAGATCACCTGTGACAACACGCACTTCAAAACATGTTTCATCTCCGATCCTAGCATCTCTGTAATTTATAATATAAATTATCATATTAAATGTGCGAAAGTAAAACGAAAGATGATGTGCCTACGTTATTATTATTATCACTATTCTACTTTTATATAGCGCCTTATTTAAATATACAATTATTCAAAAGCGCTTTACATGTAAAAACAAGTACAATATGAAACAAAAATCAAATACAATATAATAGGAAGAATAGTAGGAAAAAAATCAAATGGCATTAAAATAACACCAGAATAAATTTTAAGGTTAGATTTATTTTCGAAATAATAAAAGTTTTATATGATAATATGTTGATTTATGTTTTAAATTTTATTGATGAATGAACTTAAAAAAATTAAATTAGCCCAAAAGAATTTCTTAGAGATAACGAACAGTATTCAATCTCAAAAGTTTATAATACAAATCGAGAACAGAGAAAACACGGACCTCCAAAATATCACCTGGGATCAGGTGCCAGAGAGGAGTGAGCACTCCCTGCGAACTTGGGGAGGTCAACATTAGCGTTAAATCGCCAAAAATTTCAACTCATTACTGCTACATTTTTTTCAAAATTTCAACCGATCATTACCGCTACATATTTTTTAGTCGAAAACAACTCACTACCGCTACATATCGAATCAGCCAGGTATCCAGGTACGGAATATAAGATCCAATCACAAAGCTTTCACGAAGAACTCAGTCCGATGTTTTACAGTTCTCCTTCTAAAATTTTTGAATTTTTGACAATGTTGACAGAAGTAAAATGTATGGCAGTTTCAAATAAAACGTTTTGTTGCTGCCATGTATAAGTACAAACTGCTTCAAATAGTTGAATATAATACTTAGTCCATGATTTTTGCATCTCATTCTACATATTTTGGAGTTGCGTGTGAATCTGGGATTTTGTGTTTCAGGGGATACATGTCTTATGCATGCATATGTTGTACTTTACATCAATCTGTACACGCACAAGTGACTGCCTAACGAAACAGGCAATGTATCAAAAATGTATATTTTTATATGTAGCGGTAATGCATCGTTTTTGTAGCGGTAATGACTATGTAGCAGTAATGAAAATTTTGAAAATGTAGCGGTAATGATACACACCCCCAACTGGTTATATCCTCTTTGTGCCCTTGGTCATTATCGGGGAATAACTCAAAAATTCCTTCGACATATCAGTAGTGCTTAATCAATTAGTATGAGAACAGCATTTCACTAAATGAAAGATTTAGTTGGCAGACTGAAGGTCATTGTTTCGACCATAGAGCTTATGTACGAAAATGATGACGTAGTTTTTTTTTTTTTATTTTTTGGATTTCAACAAATGGTATATTTATAAATCTCGGATGCTCTGCATCAAATTTGTTGAATCGTTTCATTAAAAACATTTGTTAATACCTCGTTGAGTGCAAGCAGGTTGTATCACGATAGATCACTAAATTAACAAAGACATATTGTTTTAAAATCAACATAAACACTTGCCTCGAGCTCTCAACTGAATCCAGACATATTGTTTTTGTTCCCAAGGTATTATCAATCACCTCTAGGATTCCATGGACAATAGCACTACGTGATTCAGCGTCTGTCAGCTCTAACTTCATGATCTTCATCGAGGGATCTAAATATCCAGGGACAACTAAAGGCCTTTAAAAGAAAAAAATATACAATAATTTTATCAGTTTGAAAATATATATTAGAATTGATGGTGATGAAAATAAGCATCCGGTTTTAGTAATTTAGATAATTATGTGGTGTTTTAATTCATCCTGTCACAACAGTGTTTCTCAATGAAAAATATTTAATCATATAATATGCAAAACGATTATTTCTTTATCATGAGCCACAATAATTTACTTTATTCCGTACACGTAAGGGGATACCACAATCATGTAGTAGCTTACTTGTCATGAATGTTTCTGGTGACAGTAAATGGAATTGAGCAAAGATAGGAGACGTAGCAAATAACTGTTTTTGGTAGCGCAACATCTGTGAATATGGCCTGAATTAAATTTTTAAAAAATTGATTGTAAACTTTACACCTTTCAAAATATAGAGAGCAAGAAGACGTGTCATCATATCAATCTTTGATATAATGCTAATTGGAAAATAGACTTCACTGCATTAAAACAAATATCTTTAATAGACATGTTTAGTTATATTTTTTAACCTCAAGTTGCATTTAACTCTTACCCCCGTGTTAATTGTGCTTGTGAGATTTTCGTTTGCGTCTAAAAATCAACAAGTGAAAAAGCATTAAATTTATGAAGTTAAAATCATTTAAGATTGAGTACATTTTCGAAGCAGGATGAATTCTTTTAAAAGCATCATGAGTTAGAGTCATGCGCAAGTAAAAAGTGAAGAGTTTGAATGAATGTTAACACTAATCCTTACCCAACGTGGCCAAGTTAAATAACGCTAATAACTAGTCAGAATTGTCTTCCTTTATAAAAGGAAAAAAATAAGGATACAAATAACAATTCCTTAATTCGCGACAATAAAAAGTCGATCATCAACTCTGTTAAGGAAGCAGTTTATGTTTACCTAAACTGAAGATATACCATAATTAAAACTTACAGTGATTTGTTAACCTTATAAAATATTCAAATGATGCAAAGACGGATCCTGCTTCAAATTTTAATGTTACTTTTATACCCTCGGAACAAGTTGGTCCATGAAATCCATGCCGGCAAATGCATGTTTCAGTCCTATTAACATTGTAGCATGCGGCGTTGTTTCTACAAGGAGATGTTCTTATGCAGCTCTTTAAATATTCTAAAGCAAAAAAAAAAGGTTAAGCACAATGACGTCCCTTTTATAATCATATAGCGATCGGAAATTCATAGTCAAAACGATTAATATAATTTACAACCTGCCTTTCTCACAAAATCTTCCAGTAACTGAATCATTACTGCAGTGGCATTTCACTCTACCATCTAACGTGGTCTGACAGACACCATCATTGAGGCATGGGTTGGGGGAACACACTACATGGATATAGTAATTGATTTTATGAATATATAATATAATCGAAAATATTTTTGAATGATATGATCAAAGAATACTTCTCCTTACTGTCATACAAGTCATTCACATTCAAAGTGTAACATCTTACTTCCCCACTGTTGCTAAAAATAAAATAAAGAACACAAGATGAGTTATTGATGAAACGCTAATGCCCCGTATGGCATATTATCCCGCTTCAGACAAATTTGTCGATTACTGATTGGATAAAAGCTAATCACATGACGCCCTGAAATTTTCCGTATTACGTCTCCATTTTCCATATTACGTCTCCGTCGAGGCGTAATATCAAAATCGGGCACGCGATTCCGTTCGAAGCGTTGTTATTGTAAATAAAAATGGCGGCTAAGAAACGGTTTACGTAGGTAGTTTAGTTAAATTTCTTGTTACCGTAACGATATTTTATGTTGATTGTTATTGGATTAAAACTGAATATTTTCACAATATGCACAAATATTTTTTTTATATTGAAAAAGGTCTTCAGCGGGATAAATTAGTTACACAGTCAGTTAGTGACCTAATACGGATTCATACAGGGTGTGAAATGGAAATCCGTATTGGGACTCGGCTTCGCCTCGCCCAATACCAATTTCCATTTCACACCCTGTATGAATCCGTATTAGGTCACTAACTGACTGTGTAACTAATATTATGGCAAGGATTGAAGTTTTTCAAATGAAAGTCAAAATCCAAGGTCAAAAGGTCAGAGTTTAAGTTCCAAAAGAGAGTTCTTATCACAAGGAATACACATGTGAAATATCAAAGCCACAGTTTTAACTGTTCAAAACTTATGGTCAAGTTCAAAGCTTTTAAAAGTGAGTCAAACTCTATGGCCAGGGTCAAAGGTTAAAAAAAATTATATTCTCGTTCAAACATCATGACTACGTAAAATTGTGGCATTTTTTGTACAAATTTGTCAAACTCCAAGGTCAAGAGATCAAAATTGATTGTATCTAAAGAAAGGTCTTTTCACAGGGAATGCTTGATTTTCAGAAATGGATTGGAGTACTTTTATTAGATGAAGACTATGTGCATCTATACATGGAAAAATGTGTTACCATGGCATTATGCAGGTTGTTTTCTGGCCGATTGAGGCTGTGTCTGTAAACACAATGTCATAAGTGCAAAGAGAGTTATTGGAATATATTGTCGGTGGAAACACGCCTGTGAAGGAATTGTTTGTATGCATAGTTGGACTAGAAAAAGATACAAAAGTAAACAAAAATTCATTACATGTATTTGTTTATGATTGAAAACAATTGTATTAAACATATTAAAATAGTATATTATTGATTAAACAAAACAATTTTTATTCTAATTTATCAATGCTTTTGTTTACTGAACAATTGCGTTTTCATAATCTTCTCTGTCGAAATATAACGTACCATATTGCATTTGTCAGAGCAATGTATGCATAGAAATGACATGGTTGCCCTCTTTTACAACCAATAACAGTCCCAGATAGTAGTGTATCAGATGTAAACTTGCATCCTGCAGGATATCTCTGCGGAAAAAAAATATTTCACACATGATTCCACCTCTGAAATTTTCGGGGTTTGTGTTTTATAACCATTTGTAACTGATTTTTTTTTATCCATCATTGTATTTCCTTCTATTGTTTTTTTTATTATTCAAAATTTTTCTGTAAAATCACTATTTTTTCTGCGGGCTAATTTTTTGTTTTCGAAGTATGGAGAGGCACACGAATTTATGTCCATCATGAAACGTTATCTTTCAAAGATAACTTTACTCAACAATCCTCCATCTACGAAATCAAATCCTCACAAACCAATATTTTTTCCTCAAACGACGAAAATTTTACCCCACGAAAATACGTGATTTTACAGTATCCTACTTCAAATTTATAGTTTTAGTACAAAATATAAAAACTTAAATTATCAAAAGTAATAAAAGATCATAAAGGATTGAAAACATCCCCAACTGTAATCACTAAATTCCTACCTGATCATGGTATACTGAAATTTAGAAAAGGAGTTTATATTATACATTAATTCTATGAAAATAATGATGACAAGTTAAATATTTTTAAAAATTGTTTTACTCGTTAAATGATTTAATCGGAATAACAGAGAAATTTTTGCCTTTTAACATAAGACCAAGTAAGTACATAACATGAAAAGTCTCAAAGGAAAGGTTATAAACCTGATCCAAATTCAAAGGGTCGTCAGATATCTTTTTTTTTAATAAAAAGTAAACATACGTACATACACCGTGATATGTGATAGCATAAAAATGAAATATATGCATCCCTTACTTGAAGAGTTCCAAACAACGTGAAAACATCGGGTGTTGACGTCACTGAATTAAAACCGAGACTAATAATTAATAAAAGAATACAAATGATAATAATAAAAAAACCAGATGCAAACATTCGCATTAATTGCATTAAATATTTAGTTGACCTACCTGATGTTGTATTGGTTTTCTAAGTTAAGGCAAGGTATACTCTCTAGGACATTGAAAGGATTTGATATTTTAACAATCACTCTGTAAATATTTGTCCGTTTAGTTTCTCTTATATCACCAATTGCTGTTTTAACAGTTTTGTCTTTTACATCATGAACAGAAAGTCGTGGAAGTGATCTAAACATGAAAAAAAAATAGGTCAAGCTCGATTGGCCAACTTTACTGAATAACAGGTCCTATGAATAACATTACCAATACATGCATAAGGATCATAACATTTCAAGCTAATTTATAAAAGCAGTAATTTTATTTTACAATCCAGGGTTAAACCGTACTTACATTGAGTAAACGTAAGCCGAGAATGAACAGGAATGGAAGTTGAACTGACAGAAAATTGTTGATCCAGGACCAGGCGTAGGCTCAACAAACTGCACCTTTCAATTTATAAAACGATGAAGCATTAATAGCTTTTTTTTAACAAATAAGTGTGAAAACTTTTGATAGTAAATAAACATATTTTTTCAAATCAGAATCAAACTCTACCGGTAATACCGCTATGAAAACTCTAATGAAAAATGTTGAGATAACGAAATTCTAATTTCTAAAAAAAAATTCGTAAAAAAGGAGAAAAGTGATGAAAACGAACATTAATAGCATTCATTGAATCAAAAATAAAACGACATATCTCATTATATATCTTACTGTAGTTGACTAGTGTACAAAGGTATATTGAAACCCAAATTGAGGTGAATAAGTTCAAGAAGTTCACAGAAATGTATATTTTAAGAAACAATTACAAAACCGTTCATTTCAATTAAAGACATATCAAGAAATCTGTATCTTTTAATAGTGCGTAGCAATGTACAATTAAAGATTATTTCATATCACCTATTCCTTCTAAACAGTCCATAATAGTTTTATTATCCAAAAGAATTATCAATTAGATAGAGTACAAAATAGTAATGAATCAAACCTCTTGTGTTCTGCTCTGCTCTTATTGATGTTATTGAAAAAAACAGCTAAAATTCTAATTAGAGTGGTCCTTCAGATATCCGGATGCTTCGGTATCCGGAGGATTTTTCATTGGAACTGAATATTTTAACGTTATTTTGTCTTGTTTAACTGGTGATTCAGGTATCCGGACGCTTCACATATCCGGACAAATAAAGCTTCCGGATACTGTACACAAATATTAGAAAGACAATGTTATGATATGCAATGATGTATGGGTAGTGTGTAAATGAAAGGTTATTGAGGTGCCTTGTTATGAACATATGCAGTTTCCCATGTTGCATTTTTAGACTTAAATTTTGTTTTCTAATCTTATAATATATTTAATGTCGTACAAAGTATGGATCAAACAAATTTAAGATTTGATATCTGTAAAAAAAATTAAATCTTACGTTTTGCGTAGTCGAAGACTTGTCTGAAAATAAATCCATTAATAAACTTTATGAAGCAAAAAAAAAAAAACAAACAAAGAAAAAATAAGATTATATCCTTACCAACATGTTACTACAAGTGAATACAAGTTCAGATGTTAAGCCAACAATAATTTATATTACATCGATATCTTAAAAAAATTTATTGCTCCTCCAAATGGTGAAGTAAAGATCTGAGACATTGCCCATGAGATGACCATCAGTTCATCTCGTATGTTACGTCTAGAGTCCTTTTTTCACTATGTAGAACAGTTAAAGGTAGCTAGTTGTAAATAAATATTCACCAAAAATGCCATTGTATATGTAAATCTTTTATGAAAATTAAACCATATCAAAAACCTAAGGAGTTCATAATTTGGTTTTAAGAAATGCTCATTCAAAACAATTTTAGTGGGAATGAATGAAGGTTTTATTTCAAGCCTCTTTAATATTCCATTTCTTTTTCAAATAAACTTAATTAAATTCCTTTGATAAAATGTTTCAATACTTTTAACAAAACGTGTAAAAGCACACTAAGTGCTTAAACTTTTTATTCTAATTATTACCTTTTTTGCAATAACTCCCCGTATACGTCAGGCCGAGTTCACAGAAACACACAGGGTTATTTAGGTCATTGTACAAGCAAATGGAATTATTGCCACTAGCACATAAGTGACCACATCCTATATACAAAATACATATTAATTTGAGTTAGCGTTTTCAGGGGGTTGTTTATTTATTAATGAATGAAGAATAAAAAAATCAATAACTACCATGAATTAATCAAGAAAATCACGAAAGTGACAAATACGTACCGGTATCTTTACCTGCAAAACAAATGCAGTATTATATCAACATAAAAGAAGTACATGTAAGTGGAATTTTTCAAATACGAATATATGTGGATAACTGTCAAAAATATCCTAACCTATCAATCACAAGATTTTATATTAATATATTAACTTTTTTGCAGAGATACTAGTTTGTATCATCTAGCTCTGGGTTTTTTTTCATATGATTGATTGCTTTTGACTTCATAAACGTTAATTTGTAATGAGAAATATGTAACCTTCATTTGAAGTGTACTTAGGAAAAAAATTCTTCAACCCTTGTTAGGTTACGAGACAGAACGATCGATCTGGGAGATGAAATAAGAAATGGAAGGAATTTGAATATGAAAATTTTAAAGAAGACGTTTGGAGAATATTTTGACAAGTCACCCACAAGTCTCGATGCTACATTTTAATATTAGCTAGGCTTTGGATTGATATAATATATATTCTTTTACAATATAATCTTTGATGACAAAAAAGTAGATGCTATATTCATGTAACTTCTGATGTCAAGAGATCTTTAGAATACCTATAAAACACAGTAATAATAACAGTATAATTATTTGCATTCTTTCTGTAATAACGCCTGATTTTAAACATTTAAAAATACTATATATATATTACAGTTGCATGTGGAAATCACCTTCCACTAAATAAAGTACATCGCTAAATGTTTTGTTTACTTATATTCATATTACACCCATTTAAAAGGCGCTAAAGTAAATCTACACCAACTTGATAAAAACAATTTCTAAAAACTTGATGACTTTAAATTTTCAATCATCAACTTCCCTTACTTATGCTGCAATATACCTTCATACGTGGTTTATGTCAATCAGTTGAATCGAACATTGTTCGTTTTCTGCACATATTTCATACAAGAGCATACTCTACTTACATGTTTGTACAATTTCTAAATTTAGGTTAATTATTGACTAACAAGTTTATGAAACAAGAATATCAGCTGTCTCGCTTAAAGTCACCATTTCTTATTAATTAGTTCTATGGTCGATATAATTTATCATTGAGGCCATTATATAAACACATTGAATTGTCGACGGATTTTTTCGTAATTTCTCCATCATGACAAGGAGTACAGGGGGGGGGTGACCATTCGGAAGGAGATGCTCACTCCTCCATGGCATCTTATCCTACTTCTGGTGTTTTGGAGGTCCATGTTTGCTCCGCTCCTATCATGCCTATTTTGCATGGTTTAATGGACTTTCGATTGAATACTGTTCGTTAACTCTTACATTTCATTGTTCCAAAGTGAGTCATTAGTTTCATAAATCTTATCTTAAATAAACAAAAAAATGATTTATTTACTTACTTATTGCACTGCAAGTATAATTTTGAGGTATCCCCTGATAACACATTTCGTTCCTTGCACAGCTATGTTTACCACATTTGTCAATGTCTGCAAAACAAATCTGTTTGATTTACATATGCTGGAATTTGAGATCTCTTTGACAAGTTTAACTTTAAAATAATATTTTTCACATTTCTATTCTGTTTTTACAGCAACCCATTTCCCTCCGTTTCCATCATACTTACAAAAACAAATATAATATGGAGGAGACGGAACACCTATACAGTTTGCTCCTCCGTAACACGGGTTGCTGCTACAAGGGCTGGTCTCTGAAACAAAAGGAGTAAATTGAGTACGTGTAAATAGCACTTTGTCGAAAATTTGAAGACATTAAAGTTAAGCATAAAACAACAGTGACGGAGATAGAGACAGAGATTAGTGTGTTACTTTTTTTGTTTATTTCACATAAGTTCCCAGTGTAACCAGGCCGACAACGACAACGAAATCCAGTATTATCATCATATGCTTGACAGAAACCCGATTTGCAAGGAGAAACACTACAAGGATCTGAAAAGAAAAGGAAAAGTAGTGCTTCTGTCTTTCGAATCAATGGGTAGATATGAACCCTATATTGAGGAGATCACAGTATATCTCTACATAAATAAATAGAACAGTGCGACATTTAACTCCGGACACGACATAGTCCGGACTTTTTACTACCATTTCTAATTGTCATGTCTATAAAAATTTTATAGCACCTGGTGGGATTTCTTAGCAGTATCACATATTCTCATGTTGAACTCATAGACATCTCTACTTTAAAAGATATGAAGTCCTAAATATCAGAATCCCATGGGAGAATGGTGGGATTTTCAGTCCCACCAACTATCCCACCATTCTCCCATGGGAGAAAAAATGTCAGATGGGAGAAAAAATCTCAAATGGGATTTTTTCTCCCATTAGGATTTTTTCTCCCACAGAATTGTTCAAATGGGATAAATCCCACGGATACCTACAAATGGGATTTTTTCTCCCATGAATGGTCAAATATGGGATAAATCCCATAGAACATGATATGTGGGACATTTACTCCCATAAACATTCAGATGTGGGATAAATCCCATAAGGCATAACCAAAACCAAGTTAGCATTCTAAATGTTATCAAATTATAGATGAATGTATGAAGAATTAGAGACCCAAGGGTCTTGAATCACCTGATAAGCCATAAAATTTCAAAAGTAGGCCATGTTGACCTTCTATTCAGTTTACGTTCTCCGAGGACCCAAGTTTCAACAAATTACAATGTTTTTGATTCTACACTTATAAGTAACTAAAATATTTAATTATGACATTAAAATTTTGTAGCTCAAAGTGACTTTGGTGGGATAGTTGGTGGGACTGAAAGTCTACTTTTCAATTGACATACTTTGAGGTCCAAGCTGCATCAACTGACAGAATTAAATGATTTTAATCCAAATATATTATAGAACCTGAGAAAATACTTAATCAGGTCACAGTGACCTACTTTTCTTTCCACATACTTAAAGAACCCAAGATGCATCAACCAAGAATGTTTGATGCCTAGGCAAATTAGTAACTGAAATTGTTTAAACACAGCTATAACATTCCAAAGACAGGTCAGAGTCACCTGCATTGAATTCGACATACTCCGAGGTCCAAAGATGCGTCAACTGACATTAAAGATTATGATGCTAAGCCAATTAGTCATGTTAGTACATGAAAAAATTATGAATTATCTATTAGGCCTATCATGTTTATATATTTATGATGATTTAGTACTTCTAACTGTAACAAGAGTAATTAATGAATCAAGATATTCACTTTTTAATTTTGGCCATGTTTAACTTAATTCTTTTATTAAATTAACTATTAAATTACAGGTGAATAGGATAGTTACCAAAATGTATAAGCATACTTGCCTATTATAATTCATATTATTTTAAATACACTCGTCTAGCCTACTTATCATTTTGCTTATTGTGGTAATGTCCGATGTGTAGACCTATTTGTCAAAGCATCGCATGATATGAAGCATTCCTAATATTCGTTTTTGCACAACACAAGATGATTAATTTACACTTGTTATACTATTTCTACCTCTGTTCCCGTTGATAAATAGGCCTAACTAAACATTAAACAGTTACTCACGCACTTCCGAGTTCGATTTGCATTGAGGTGAAAATGGACTAATTCAAGCATATTAAACCAATATCTCAATAAAATAGAACGAGGCTAAATTGATTTAAATGTACGTGAATTAATCCTTTCAGCAAAGATCTTAGATCAACATCTCCTTTCCGAGTTCTTGCATCTCTGTTTTTTCGGTGTCCAGTCAACTCGTACACAAACCGACTCGTACACAAAAAGTCCACTCGTACACTAACTAGAAGTCCACTCATACACAACGTTTTATTTACAATTGTTAGGAATTATTTTATATGAAAAATGTATAATCTAGGAAAAAATAAAATAATGACAAAGAAAAGTGGGGGTTTTTTTTGTTTTTTTTTATTTATTTTTTTATTTTTTTTTTTTTATTTTTATAAATTATACTCTAGTGGGCTTAGCATTTTAAATCAACTGTGCTTCTCTTATTAGGAATTTAAACAATGAACTGTTCAATCAACACAATCAAGGCAGTTTCTTTAATCTGCGACACACGCTAAATATGAAATGCTCCTAATTTGGTCCAATGATTAAATTTTTTTTCATACATATTGTATGAATTTATTATTAAACTTCACCATGGTGGGGGAGTCGTATTTATCCTGCTTTAAAAATCTCCCACCATGGTGAAGTTTAATAATAAATTCATACAATATGTATGCAGGTACCTGACTGATTAAAACCTAATATTTATCAAATATTAATAATAAATGTTTGTATTTATATGGCAGCTAAAACTCCTCCTTTTCTTCTATAATTTATTTAAATTTTTAAACCTTGCCTTGTGTATTAGAAAAAGTCTCCTATTTCCTTAAATGTTAAAAAAAAATTTAACACAAATTCATTTATTATGTTAGATTTACTAAGTGCATGCTATTACAAGAAAGTCTATTCAAAACTGGTTAATTTCATTGAAAAATAATATAAAGCAAGTATGATTAATGGAGTAATATGACATGATGATGGATTCTCCCTATGAAAATTTCAGTCCTCTTACAATTTATCATTTTACAGTAAAAAAGTACATGCTATTGTGAGCAAAATAATATCAAATTGGCAAAATTTCATTGAGAAATAAAAAAGTTATGGTCATTCAATTGAACACAGTAGTACGGTTAATGGAGTAATATGACATGATGATGGATTCTCCCTATGATAATTTCAGTCCTCTTACAATTTATCATTTTACATTTAAAAAGTACATGCTATTGTGAGCAAAATAATATCAAATTGGCAAAATTTCATTGAGAAATGAAAAAGTTATAATCATTCAAGGGAACCCATTAGTACGGTTAATGGAATAATATGACATGATGATGGATTCTCCCTATGATAATTTCAGTCCTCTTACAATTTATCATTTTACAGTAAAAAGGTACATGCTATTGTGAGCAAAATAATATCAAATTGGCAAAATTTCATTGAGAAATGAAAAAGTTATGGTCATTCAAGAGAACACACTAGTACGGTTAATGGAGTACCGGTAATATGACATGATGATGGATTCTCCCTATGAAAATTTCAGTCCTCTTACAATTTATCATTTTTTATTTAAAAAGTACATGCTATTGTGAGCAAAATAATATTAAATTGCCAAATTTTTATTGAGAAATAAAAAAGTTATGGTCAATCAAGGGAACACACTAGTACGGTTAATGGAGTAATATGACATGATGATGGATTCTCCCTATGATAATTTCAGTCCTCTTACAATTTATCATTTTACAGTAAAAAAGTACATGCTATTGTGAGCAAAACAATATCAAATTGGCAAAATTTCATTAAGAAATAAAACAGTTATGGTCATTCAAGAGAACACACTAGAACAGGGTATTATTTCAACTCGGAATAATTATTTCATTCGGAATTCAAAGAATTAAAAAAAATAAGCTACTAAGTCTCCTTACATGTATTTGTAGCTCAGTAGAAAAAAATGTTGCCTTAGATCTCTGCATATTTTGTGAGTATTTGGGTAAAGGTTTTGCTTATAAACTCATTGAATAAGGTATTCTATTTTCTGTTAATTATTTCTTCTTATCTGTTTATTTGTTTGTTTATTTATTGTTGTGTTTGTTTGTTTATTTATTGGTGTAAACAAGGTTGCATGTACTGGCAGGGGTTAGATGAATTTTTCACTTGGTTAGTTGGCGCATGCCCAAAGGGGTTAGTCGCCGCCGGGTGTCGACTAACCCCTTTGGGCATGCGCCAGTTGCGTTTGTTAAAAATCCTGTAGTAAATCCATATTCAATGTGTATTCGGTCTGTATTGTTAATCAGTCCACGCAATGTACGTAATAAACGGTAATTAACACGGTAGAAGTGTTATTTACTGTCACGATGCGCTTAAATCCTTAGTATTTCATTCCAAGTATCCTTAAATGAAGACTAGACCCGGGTCCCTACACCATGTGCACATGCCGATCTCCCGAAGAAAATAAATCACGGAGCAAGAGAACGAAAATACATACCAATGCATATTCATCACGATAACTGAAAACATATAGTCGTAAGAACGATTAAATCCAACAAATAGCCAGTGAAACGCGGCGATGTCAACACTGCCAATGCACTGCAAACAACTCCTGTTCGACGTCATTTTTCGAAGTACGACGTCACAGGTACACTGTTTTCCCGAACTTTCTCTCTGTATCAAAATGGCGTATAGGCAATGTACGTAATATAAGGTATTCTGTCACTAAGGTACATCATTTAAACATTATTTTTTTAGCTGAACGTTTTCCTTTACTTGTACAACCAAATATCACAAGGGGAAATGAAAGTGAAAAGTGTTTAGTACAAAAAACAGGCTTTAAAAATTGCAAGATCCAGGATCCGCGCACTTGTTTCACCTCAGCTAAGAGGTGCAGTTTTAGTGTGCACATCTCAAGTTTTCGATCTATTGTGACGTAGGCCTATCACTCGGGGACAGAATAAAGTGAAATGCAGTATGTCTATAGATCTGCAAGAACATAATAAAGGCTAATAAGGTGTTGAAAATATTTCTTGTTTCTTTCTTTTATTTAGATCAAATTTATTCATCATTCATATAATATTTTGATAAAAGGAGGGGATGAGACAATTCTTTTTTTCTCATAAATACTGCGTGGCATATAACCCCTACCTCCGTATTGACAGAAATATTTATTTTTATCAATTTTGTATTATTTAAATTTAATTTTATTTTTTGCCGACTTTGAAACAAATCATGTGTGTGTGTGTGGGGGGGGGGGGCATATGGAAGCTTACGGAAAGAAAAATTTAATGGATCAAGACAGCATTTAAAATCTCGGACATTTTCAGGTAGAACACTGCACTTTTCGGCAATGAAACAGGATTGAAGGCCCAATCTATGAAAACTTTTAAGGAAGAAATCACGAACT